CCGCCATGGCCTCCCGAGGCTCCTGATCCGCCATGGCACCCCGAACGGGTAACGCTCTGGAGGCCCACTGTCCCGTGTCTGTCCTGAGGGACCTCCAGAGTGCCCACCCCCTCCCCATTGGATGTTATATGGCGTGAGGACACGCCTTCCGGAGGGGGGCGTTATGTCAGACTTTGCTCTGTGTTTTGTGTGTCTTGCTCCCCATGTGCCTTCCTACGCCCATATTTGGTTAGTTTCCTGTTCCTGTCCTGATTAGGTTCATTTGATTCCAGGTGTTCCCCATTTTATGTCTATTGATCCCCGGTGTCTCCCCTCATCCCCTCCTCCTGTGTGTATAAATAGTGTTCCCTGTGTATGCTCCAGCGTCCGGTATTGTATGTTAATGAATGTGAATGTCTGCTGAAGTCTACCTCCTTTACTACGTGTGTTTTCCTGGTTCCCTTGAAGTTATTAAAATCCCATCATTAATGTACTCCTCATCTTTCTCCGTTCCTTGCTCCTCAGTCCGCTCAGCAGTGAACCCGTGACAATACTATATTATTACTATTATTATTATATTATTACAGTTTTTTTTAAACATTTTATTTTTATATTTTAATTTAAATTCAATTTTTAATTAAGTTTTAGTAATTTTGTTGTGTATGTTTTTATTTGTTTGTTTTTTAATATGGCTATATCATTTTTTATTTATTTATTTTTTCAGTTTTAGTTTTAGTTATTTTAGTACATCAAGTTGAACCAAATGAAGATAAATGTTGACTTGGCAACCATCTGAAATAAAACTTGGCAACCATCTGAAATAAAAATAAAAATTAATTTAATTTTTATATTATTTTATTTAAGTTAAAGGGGTCACATGATGCGATTTCAATTTTTCCTTTCTCTTTGAAGTGTTATAAGCTCTTGGTGCATAAAGAAGATCTGTAAAGTTGCAAAGACTAAAGTCTCAAATCCAAAGAGATATTCTTTATAAAAGTTAAGAGTCAACCACGCCTACCTAAAACGGCTCGTTCTAACACACCCCCACATATCTACATCACTATGTGGGAAGATTTGCATAACGCCGCCCAAATGTTCACACAAAGAAAGAAGGCGTAACTTTTATTCTTGCTGTAGTATTGTTGTTGCTGCCGCCGCCATGTCGTGAAGGCGCTGTGTGTTTCGTTGTGAAAGCGAAACTACTTTGTTTGGCCTTCCAAAAGAGGACGATATCCGCTCCGTCATGCCTGGAGCTGATCCGTGCTGGTTGCTGAGGAAATACATCAACTTTGTGATGTGGATTGCCGGATCGACTTTCACTGTGGACGAAGCAGAGTCCAGCCCGGGGTCGTCATATGTGGTTGCCTTAAGACCGCCGGCCGCTCCTTCGTCGAATCGGACATGACTAGAAATCAGTAGTTAAGTTGTATTTACAACACTGTTCCAGAACAGTTCCAGAACAACCCAAATATTAAGAAGTGTGCAGCGCATTTTATGGAGGACTGTTTCCTGATCCTGATAGAGTAGACTATGGCTGAGTAGACTACGGCTGTTCTGACTCACAGAATGTAAGTAAGTTTTTTTATATTTAAAGAATTTGCCACTGACGATTCAAACGCGAGTTTTGAGCAGTGTAGAGTAGCACTTGTTGTTTGTCGTTTCTCCGATCACAAATGCAGACATGGTTTTATATTACATCGCGATGCATCGCAATGCATAAAAAGACAGTATAATTCATTATAATCCGTAATTATGTCCCCACCGGATGCAACAAAAGGCTCCTTTATAATGGGTTTTAATGCTTTTGTCTCGTCGCTCCAGCCGGACAGGGCATCACAGTATGGTAAGGGGCATAACATTTCCGTCACACGCTTGAGGTATTCGGCCAATCAAAACGCACTGGATAGCTGGCCAATCAGAGCACACCTCGCTTTTCGGACGATGAGCTTTGTAAAAATTTACGCATTTCAGAAAGGCGGGGCATAGAGGAGAAACAATAACGTACAATATGTGGAAAATAATGTGTTTTTTTAACCTTAAACCGCATAAACACATTTCATTACACCAAATACACAAAATAATGTTCTTTTTAGCAGCATCATATGACACCCTTTCATTTTTTATTTCAAGTAACAATTTTTTTTATGGTTTTAGTTTTAGTTAACTATAATATAACCCTGTATATATAATTGTACTGAATGATTCCTACATTAATATACCATGGTATTTCCTAATCCAAGATCATTTAAAAGAATGGCATTATATTACCATTGTGCATGTCTAAAAAACATGGTATTCCCATGGATCCATTACAAAAAAACATGGTAATATCACAGTGCTATTTTGTAAATTGACATTGTAAGTTGTAAGTTGTTCATCTCAAAGGAAATTGGAGAGATTTTGGGGTAAAATAAGTCATATCAGTACCTTCAGGATCTAGTAAACGCGGTATTCCCAGTTCATTTTCTGCCACACTGAAGGCCTCTTCCAGGTTCTCACGATTACTTCTTTTTCTCACGATGTCCATGTCCACGAGTTCTGGACGAATGGCATGAATAACAGAATGGAAGGCCACACCACTGCGCCAACTAACACCGAAGTCTTTAACTTCAATCCCAAGACGCCTTGAGAGAATAAATAATGACTCATTAGGGGCCTTATTGATATATTAGGCCTGTTTTTATACACAATTCTTGTAAGTTGACATATCCATTTCAAATGATCAATTTAAACCCTCAATAGAGCTCGTATTTATCTTAAAAATTCTCCTTCAGTTGGCAAAAATACTTGGTTGACATACTTGGTTGCTGTGCTTTGGACCCATCTGAGCAGGGCTTTTTTGGCATTGCCCTGAAACTTTGTTATCACTTTGCGTTTCATAGGTGGGCTTCCCGTCTCCGAGCTGGCCATGCTGTCCACCGAAGACGCACTGCTGGATAAAGCCTGAAGGGCTGGAAGATTACTGGTCAACTCCTCAATCTGCAAACGTTTGTGAGGGTAGACCCTTAAAACTCAGGTAAACGCAGACATATGGCAATTTTCCAGATCCTACCACCATAATTGGCAAACATTACCTGAAAATAGAGGATAATGGTCCATATCAGCCCCAAGACAATGGACGGGCGTCCATCAGCAATGTCAGTGGCATTGATATTGACTAGTTTGATCTGGAAAATAAATATTTTGCATGTTAGAAAGTCTTAAATGGCTAAATCATTTGAAAATATCAATGTAACAGACATATTATCCACAGATCTGAAGTCAGTGCAAACAGGCCAGTCTAAACCAGCACTATCTGCTGATGAACCGTGCAGAATAACACCAGGAACGTGCATAAAGAAAGTAAACGGGGTCCATTTTGATTTCATGTCGACTTGAAAAAAATTAAGTAGCCAGACATATTCACTTCTTAGGGAATAAGCAAATATGAATGCACAAGTATATGAGGAGCATGTGCGTGAAGAGGAAAAAAGCTATTTCCTCATGGCCAACCAGTCATGGACATCAAAAGAGATGCTGTAGAAAAACAAGCTTTCTAAAAATAATTGCAGCTCTTTCAGCCAGTAGAAATAATGGAGTTGCTCGCTGCATATGGTACGCATCATCAAATGCAGATATGTTTGTGAGAACTGTGACTAGGAGAAGTACTGACCGGAGACCCTCGGTACACAGACTGAGACAAGACATGATAGGAGAGAGGACAGAGTTAGAGATGCAGTTTGATGACATACGCTGGACTGGGACATATGAACATATTCAATGATCAGATAAGACTGCAGATATGCCTGGATCATTCCTACTATGCAGTTAATTTAGCGTCAGTCAGATATTTTTTTATACTTTTATTTAGCAAGTATGCATTAAAGGAACACTCCACTATTTTTGAAAATAGGCTCATTTTCCAACTCCCCTAGAGTTAAACAGTTGAGTTTTACCGTTTTCGAATCCATTCAGCCGATCTCCGGGTCTGGTTGTAGCACTTTTAGCTGTAGCTTAGCATATATCATTGAATCTGATTAGACCGTTAGCATCTCGCTCAAAAATGACCAAAGAGTTTCTATATTTTTCCTATTTAAAACTTGACTCTTCTGTATTTCTGTAGGCGCTGCGTAATATCATTGCGCCTGCTGCACCCATGGTACGGCAGCAAAGTTCCTTGATTATTACGCCGGAATGAGAGTACAGTTCCTAGCCATATTGGCCTAGAAAATCACATCTTTTCATTTTCCGTCGGCCTTAGTACACGATGTAACTACAGAAGAGTCAAGTATTAAAATATGCGCTGCACAGATCTGAATATTTGGGTTGAAGTGTTCTGGAACAGTGTTGTAAATACAACTTAACCACTGATTTCTAGTCGTGTCCTCTTTTGGAAGACCAAACAAAGTAGTCTTGCCTGATCTTGACCAGAGCATATTTCTGACAGTCTGGTATATCCTGTTCTAGAAAAACTTCCTTAAATTATAGCACAAGTATATTCATTTTTAAAAGCTAGACTTTAAAAGGTACTGCAAAAGAGGAATGACCCAGATGGAAGTAGTGTTATACAGAATATCACCATTTATTAGGACAGATGAGCAGTTCAGTGAGACAGATGAGATAACCGGAGTGATCCTGGAGTCACCTACCTTCCTTCCCTCCAGGAACTTAAGAGCTGTGCCGATGTTGGACACCCAGTGGATCCTTTTGATCTGGCGACCCTGTTCGCATGGCTGCAGGGAAATACAAGAGGTTTTCAGGAGCAGGACCCATCATCTTGGCATTAAACAGACCTTGTCACTAAAGATGCACTGCAGCTGCTGCTGCGCTCAATGCAGAGGTTTCACACAGGGATAATCTGCAGATATTGCATCACAGAAACACTTACTAATCTCTGTCCAGACAGCACCTCTAACAGAGCCAGCAGTTTCACCCCATCCTTGATGTCCTCAAAGAGGTCACTGACTTCAAAAGGAGGTTTGTGCTGGAAATGGACAAAAAGAAGAGGATCAAATAAATGGTGAACTTAATAAACCCTTATAGTGCTTTGATTACAAATCTGTTGGATGCTTCTGCTTTTGTTCTTCTCTGACTGATTTCTACTCTGAATAAATACATATAAATGCTTTTAGGTCATCAGAAAATCTCTTCATTCCCAGAGGAATTTAAGTTTCTGGCTCAGAAAATGCTCTTTCATAGTTTGGGATACATAAAGTATAACATGTTCCCACTTATGTTTACTGCAGATGTTTGTCTTAAAGGGGTCATATGATGCGATTTCAAGTTTTCCTTTCTCTTTGGGGTGTTACAAGCTGTTTGTGAATAGATAAGATCCCTAAAGCTGCAAAGACTAAAGTCTCAAACCCAAAGAGATATTCTTTATAAAAGTTAAGACTCGTCCACGCCTACCTAAAACGGCTCGTTCTAACACGCCCCCACATGTCTACGTCACTGCGTGGGAAGATTTGCATAACACCGCCCAAATGTTCACACTAAGAAAGAAGGCGTAACTTTGATTCTCGCTGTAGTATTGTTGCTGCCGCCGCCATGTCGTGGAGACGCTGTGTGTTTCGTTGTGAAAGCGAAACTACTTTGTTTGGTCTTCCAAAAGAGGACACGACTAGAAATCAGTGGTTAAGTTGTATTTACAACACTGTTCCAGAACAGTTCAACCCAAATATTCAGATCTGTGCAGCGCATATTTTACGGAGGACGAGGACTGTTTCCTGGAAGAGTAGACTACAATGCCGTGTTCTGACAAATAATGCTGACTCGCAGCCTGTAAGTACACTTTCATATTTAAAGGATTTGCCACTGATGATTCAAACACGAGTTTTGAGCAGTGTAGAGTAGCACTTGTTGTTTGTCATTTCTCCGATCACAAATGCAGACATGGTTTTATGTTTATGCGGCTCGATTTTTAGTGCTGCAAATCCATTTGCTGAAACTTCCGCATCTTCATGGAGAGCGCAGGTCATGGTTGCTTAGCAATGGCAGACGCCTCCGGAGCGCAAGCGCCCGAACGCTTTGGAAAAAAGCAGAAAGCAGCACGCCTAGCATTTTCCACGTGTTTTTAGCCACGACATGTGAACGGCCCCAAAGTCATTATAATCTGTAATTATGTCCCCACTGGATGCTACAAATGCCTCGTTTGTAATGGGTTTTATTGGTTTTGTCTCGTCGCACCAGGACACGGCATCACAGTATGGTAAGGTGCGTAACATTTACGTCACACACTTGAGGTATTCGGCCAATCACAACGCACTGGATAGCTGGCCCATCAGAGCACACCTCGCTTTTCAGACCGATGAACTTTGTAAAAATCGACGCGTTTCAGAAAGGCGGGGCATAGAGGAGAAACAATAATGTACAGTATGTGGAAAATAATGTGTTTTTTTTACCTTAAACCGCATAAACACATTGCATTACACCAAATACACAAAATAATGTTTTTTTAGCAACGTCATATGACCTCTTAAAAAAAATTTTCTCCATCTCACATCACACTTCAGCCAGAAGTGCCACGCAGCATTCAAACTTGAGATCACAGAAAGACTGAAACTACAATCTGTGTAGGCAGATGAAACTCAAATATGTTATGAAGATAACAAAAATAAACTGTAACTGCAAATTTATTTTTCATGTTGAAGCAGTGAAATATTCACAGGGAAATAGACAAAGGCAATATAAATGTTTTTTTATATAAATATGGTGATCGTTCAGTTTGATGTCAGTAAAATGTTTTAAAAGAAATTATTACTTTTATTCAGCAAGAATGCATTAAATTAGACAATAGAGACATGTATAATGTTACCTAAGATTTATAAGCTGTTTGAACTTTCTATTTATCATATAATACGTATTTCCACGCAAATATTAAGCAGCAAAACTGTTTTCAACATTAATGATAATGAGAAATGTTTGTTGAGCAGCAAATCAGTATATTAGAATGATTTCTGAAGGATCATGTGACACTGAAGACTGGAGAAATGATGCTGAAAATTCAGCTTTTATCACAGGAATAAATTGCATTTTAAAATATATTGAAATAGAAAACCATTACATTGAACTCTCATAATATTTCTCAATATTATCAAATAAATGCAGCCTTGGTGAGCATAAGATCTCACCGACCCCAAACTTATGAATGACAGTGTACCAATGTACTATAGCACTACAATCTGAACACCTGCATCATTGTACTGTCTCATATTTGTAAGAACTATCACTAGAATACAGTATATGATGCAGGTCTGAGTTTAGTTTGACATAATTATGATTTACCAAAGCATGTTTGGCTTCCATGTATCTCACACATCACAACTTCATTTCAGAAATTCAGAGCACATTTTCAGAGATTTTTTTAATGCTCAGCCTACTAACACGAGATCACCCACTCATCTTGGCCATGGCAGTGGGACGCCATCACAACACAGCATTCATTCTCAAAGCGCACAGCACAAACAGCACACTTCATGGTTTTTATTAGAGTATTATAGCATTACGCCTCCTCATTCACTGTTTACTGTCCTGCAAAATGATCAGCCTTTAATCATCTGAGCTTTACTCAGTTACACAGACATTTGCTCTTTAGAGTCATTATGACATTAGGCTACAAAGCAAATCACATGGACCATTCACTGTTCACGGATGATTGGTCAGGAAGACAGAAACACAGCCATCACTGCTTGAGACACTGGTGCAATTCCTCAGAGTAACACCAACAGTCTAGCATTATATAAAAAAGCTAAGACACTTAAGCCACAGTTAATGCCTAAATGTCACTGTATTAAAAAGCAAGCGTCATTTAGTTTAAAGAAAGATAGAACATGCACAATTTTTACAAAAACAAGTTTGCTAGGTTTTACATGATTAATATGTACACTACGGTTCAAAAGTTTGAAGTCGGAACAAATTTTATGTTTTTGAAAAAAGTTTCACCAAAGCTGCATTTATTTGATCAAAAATACAGTAAAAACAGTAATATTGTGAAATGGTATTACAATTTCAAATAACCGTTTTCTATTTTAATATATTTCAAAATTTAATTTATTCCGTTGATGGCAAAGCTGATTTTTTTATACCATTAAACTTGAACCATCAAAATATGAATTTCTTTCAACAACAACAACAAAATTTGACTGACACCAAACTTTTGAACGGTAGTGTAGCTACCGTTCAAAACAATTTGAATTTGATTCAATTTGATTGTGGTTGTCAATCTGAGAAAAACATCACAGATCTACTAAAAATCATTGCCACACCAGTTGATTAAAACTCATTGCAAAAAAACTGCTCAGAAAAATGAAAGCAAAAGTTTTTGCAGCACTTCAATACAAAAGACTCTTGATATTTGCTATATAATGCAATAACAAACAAGCATTTTTTTTAACAAGTGGCCAAAGTGTCCCAGTAGTGTATTGGGTCACTGCTGTTGTTGTATTGTAATCCAGTGCAAATAGTACTACAAGCTAAATGTTGTGGCATTCGGATGAAAAAAACTGCAAAACATCTTACCTTGGCCAAGTGTGAATTAATCCACTTTGTGAAAGTTCTTTTCTGCACCGCCTCCTGTTCATCTGCAAAAGAGAGAGGCACAATAATCACATAAATGAGCAGATATGTTTTACGTTTCAATATCCAGTGAGATATTATGTTTTCCTGTCTTCTTCATTGTGCTCACTGTCATCATGACTCACCTGGTTATTTTCTCATATTTGTGAGAAATAAATGCAAGAGGATTTATTACTGAATACTGTACATTTTCATTACTGAAAGTCTACGTTGAAAGCTAGAGAGGAGATATTCACCAGCAGAGGAGAGCTGAGAGTCCACACGTGGCATGAGCAAAAACATCAACATCATATCAGAAACATCTGCCAATATTCCCATTATTACATATATACTCAGCATAAACAACATAAATGCAGATTTTTAACAAAAACATACAGATATGCTCAGAATGTTTATTCATGTGCAATCCACAAGCTCTCAAGAACATAAGAGCGTTGCTAGAGCATTGCTATTCGGTTGCTAGGATGTTCTGAGCAGCTACCAGGCTGTTTCTATGGATTTGTATTGCTAGCACGTTTTGAGCAGATGAAATACTGTTACTATGGATTTGCAAAGATATTCTGCATGCCAGGCCAGGCCGTTGCTATGCAGCCATAAAGATGTTCTAAAGTGGTTGCTAATATGTGCTGGGTGGTTGTCAGGGTGTTGCGATGCAGTTGCTAGGATGTTTTGTGTGGCTGGCATGGCCTTGGAAATAGTCTGTAAATGTGTTCTGATGGTTGTCAGGTTGTTGCTATGCAGCCATAAAGATGTTCTAAGAGGTTGCTTAGATGTGCTGGGTGGTTGTCAGGGTGTTGCTATGCAGGATGTTCTATGCTGTTGCCACAGCATTGCAAATAGTCTGCAAATGTGTTCTGGTGGTTGCCAGGATGTTATATGCAGCTATAAAGATATTCTAAATGGTTGTAATGGCACTGCTATGCTAGAGTGGTTGCCAGGATGTTGCTAATAAGGTTGATAGGATGTTCTAAGCAGTAGCCAGGCTGTTGCTATGGAGTTGCAATGGTATTCTGTGTGGTTGCCAGGCCTTTGATTTGCAGCCATAAACATGTTCTGAGTGGTTATTAGGGCATTGCTATGGAGTTGTTAGAATGTTCTATGTGGTTGCCAGGGTGTTATGCGATTTATAGGATGCTCTGTGTTGTTGTCAAGGCATTGCAAAGGTATTTTGAGTGGATGCCAGGCCGTTCCTATGCAGTTGCAAAAGTACTCTACATGGTTGTTGGGAAGTTTCTATGCAGCCATAAAGATGTTCTGAGTGGTTGCTAGCATGCCATGAATGGTTGCTAGAATATTCTGTGTGGCTGCAAAGGTGTTTGGAGTGGTTGCCAGGGTGTTGCCATGCAGTTGCAGGTGTTCTAAGTGGTTGTCAGGCTGTTGCTATGCAGCTATAAAGATGTTCTGAGTGGTTGTTATGGCACTGCTATGATACTACGATGTTCTGTGTGGTTTCCAGGGTTTTGCCATGTAGTTATTAATGTGTGTTCTGAGTGGTTGCCAGGGTGTTGCTATGCGGTTGTAAAGGCATTCTAAGTGGTTCCTAGGGTGTTGTGGGTGTTGCTAGGTGGTGTCCACCCAAGTTTCTATAATATTCTTTTTCTGATTTTTTTTCATTGTTAGCAAAGTGAAAGAAGTTTAATACTGTAACTATTTAGTACTGTTCTAATCATTAACCCTAAGTATGAGCAATAGTGCTAGTGATTCTTGACTTCACAAACAGCAGTAATGAAAGTTTGTGACATCTGTTAACACAATATACAAATCTTGCAGAGCATTTTTAGACACAGATAAGGTCATTCAGGTCACCAACAAACACCCACCAGACATATTTATGCGTGATAGGCTCAGACAGACCAGCCATATTCACAACAGACAGCATCCTATATTTGCATGCATGTTCTAATGCAATCCACGGGGCATGTTTAGGAAGCATCCATGTACAGTAGCACACATGGCATGCCGGTGCAGCCTTAAGCACACAACAGCCATCATAATCCAACATGCGCAACTGTAAAGTGGTTCGCATCAGCACTCGTGTGCAGCAGTGACCCGTGCCAACACGGTGATTACCTCACCCGAGGAGGAAGACGAGGAAGACCTCAGCTGGCCAATAATGTCTAGTGAGCCATATGACCCAGAGACGTGTCACTGCATATCTGGATCATGCATCTGTTTCACCTACATTCAGTGAAGCACAGACTACATGTAAATCTGAGCTAGTGGCTCCCACACTCCAGTCTGATGAGAGGAGATGTCGATGTCCCACTTACCGCGGAGATACTGAAAGAATCCCGTCACCAGATTCAGAGATGTGGTCTTTTTCACAGCTACGTCCTTAAAATGAGCCATTGTGCGCCCTGCATTCCCTCCGTTTCTTTGTGTCCTTCATGTGTGAAAGTGCACGCGTATCATCCAGGGAGGAAAACCAGATCAGCTATCCTTTATTTCCTCTGGGAAGCAGAACAGAGCAGGCGGAGGAGCTTTCCGTGTGAAAACAGCGCGACTGAGCGCTGGAGGATGAAACCTCCCCCTCCTCCTGTTGTCTCTCTCTCTCTCTCTCTCTCTCTCTCTCTGTCTCTCTGTCTCCTCTGCTGTGGATAGGCTGCTAATCGAGGACAGTTTTTATGAGCCAGGCGACTTCCTGTTGTTGGTGGAGCTGGTGAGTCGTGCTGGTGTGGATGCTCTGTTCAGGTCTGTTCTAGTTCTAGCAGCATCCCACAGCTGCAGCTATACTAACTGGCTATGGCACTGATCGGCCAATCAGCACGCGGGGGGGATGTGATGTCACCAGGCAGCTGGTGCTATCCTGATTTATATGGGTGGGTGGGGGTCAGTACTCCTGCTACACAGCTTGAACTCCACCAGGCCTCCACTATGAGCACCGCGCAGACACCCTAATGCAGGAATGGCTTAACAAATAATCAGATTCATTGCAGTCCAGAATGCTATACAACAAAGGACTTATGACATGACACAGTTACTGTGGGTTTGAATGTGTTTGCATGTCTAAGTAAGAAACAAAGCAAACAGAAAGTGGCAATTTTTGTACAAAGAGACATTAAAATATTTTAATACATGTTTCTGGTCTTATTGTGTTCAATTAATTAATTAAATATTATTACGGGTGTTTGATGAGACAAGAATCATTATTAATATTGCTTGGTTTTTCTGATTTGAACAAACGACTAATACATAGTATTAAAATTTGGAACGTAATTTATCTTACAGCATTTATTAAGCAGCACAATTGTTTTCAATTGTCACGAATCCAGTCCATGGACTTTCATCCAATGAACACAAGAGGTCGCTCTCTCACCATATTGACACTCACTCCACATAGACTGTCACACTTCGCTCTGGACTAGATCTCCCATGCTCCACTGCACTGATTGCGCACTCACCTGCATCCAATAACTCACACTATATAACACTCACTCTGATCCTGCTCTAGTTGCCAAGTATTGTATGCGTTTATATCTCTCCAAATGATAGCTACTCTATGGAGCCTGTCTAGTTTTCAGTTCCTAGTCATAATCTTGTCTTGCTTGCTTACTCGTGTTTTGATTCTTGTCTGTTTATTTTGAATGCCCCTTTAGTCTTACCATTCGGACTCTGTTTACGCCTTGCCTGGATTATCGCCTGTTATTGGATTTAAAGTTTGCCTCGTCCTCTGGATTACGTTTACCGTCGTTTGACCCACGCCTGTTTCATGGATTACTCTTCAGTCTCACCCTTGATATATCTGTTTGCCATTGTTTGACTCTTGCCTGTATTGACCATGTCACTGAATAAAGCCTTGCAAGTGGATCCCCTCGCCTCACGTCTCTGTCACCCCGTTACATCAACATTGATAATAATAACAAATGTTTCTTGAGCAGCAAATCAGCATATTAGAATGATTTCTGAAGGATCATGTGACACTGAAGACTGGAGTAATGATGCTGAAAATTCAGCTTTTACATCCCAGGAATAAATTACATTTTACAATCTTTACAAAAAAGTTATTTTAAATTGTAATATTTTTTCATTATTTTATCACCTTTACTATTTAATTTAATAAATGCAGCTTTTTCACTCAGAAATACATTTATGGAGTCATGTTGACTTTAAATCCTTTAAAGTCTTTTTAATTTTGTGTGCGTCTATGGCAAAAATCATTCATGTCATGAATTTAATCATACTGAATAACACATGCATTATTTGCAAATGGCTATAAGGCAACTGGGAACCAACTGCACTCAAAGTATTGAATCATTTATGTCACAGCCAGTGCAAAGCATCTGCCACCTGCTATGGTGCAGTCAGTGACTATATCACTCTATTATTCCTGACCATCAGCCACAGCATGAGCTCCAAACAAACCCAATGCACCACACAACATATTTATTTGCCTCCTGATATATATTTAGTTGTGCAATAATAAGACCATCTTATGACCAGAAATGGACATGCCCAGTGTTAAGTCTTGATCTTCCATGCATGCGTGGCTTTGTGTTGTCTTGTTTAATAAAACATGCTTTATTAAATTACTTAATTCAATCCCATGTTTTGGTGCGTTGAAACATAAGTGCATTTACAAAATATAACTGTTCTTTCGCAAATCCACTTAAAGGAAAAATCCATTCTCTCACCGCTCACTCACCGTGGCATAGTTCAGGTATTTATATCTCAAAAAGCCTTTTGTGTTAAAGATCGAGGAATGTACCTTAAACTGTTTCCGTCACAGAAGATAATGTAATCAGTGAAATAAGTGCTACTCCCATCACATGCTCATCTAATGAGTCACGATTTGTTTCTATCAGTTAACAGGGTTAAAGCTCAGGGATCGTTAAAACGGATTAAAAAGACCTGACATTGTGTGGATTAGAATATGGTAAGAAAAGGCATTTTATTTATTTATTATATCTAGCATACACATACTGTATAAATACATTTATATACAAACATATACATATATATTTACATGTATAAAAAAAACATAGATAGATAGTGGAGCTGTCCAGTCCTGAAATATTATAGCAGAATAACGTAAAGGCTTTCAGGATACAATACTGACTTTAAGGATAAAATGTGCAAAAGTCCCACAGTTCTTCATCAGTAATCAATGGATGTGTTTAGCATCTACAGGCAATTCCAGTGCTGCAACACTACAAACTGGATTGTTCCCACAATAACCAAAAAAGCAGCTTTACCGATGGTCTACTAGTTCGTAGCATTCCCCACTTGCACTCCCACCCAGTGTTAAGAATTAGAGTTAATTAAGTATTAATGAATGTACAGTCACTTTCAGTTTGCACGTAGAAATACGAGAAACAAGTGAGCGGAGCATCTGAAATTTAAATGAGTGCATTCAACACAAACTCAGGACAGATGATATCATGGGCAACAGGTCAGATGTTACTGTCATCTGCTCAACGGAGTGCAGTCTTTAATATTCTACACGTCACTCTTGCAGTTTCAAGGGAGAAATGCAAACGCTGATTTTGTCTATTAGGCCAAAAAAAGGTGTATTAACAAAGATAGATTTAAGATAAATATTTAGAAAAAATAAACACTGAAATACTGCCATCTAGTGTCCTTTTAAAAACATTCTGTGACTACATTAAATGGCCTACATCCAGATTCAAGCTATTTTGATCAACATACTGGTAATAGTCAAGTCAAGTCACCTTTATTTATATATCGCTTCAAACAATAAAGATCATTCCAAAGCAGCTTTGCAGTGATAAACAAGAAAATAATGATTCAATGATGCAAACAGAACTCATTCTAATAAATCAATAAACACTCATTGTTTCTCATTGTTTTAACAATATATTGTAACAGTTACTGATATAATACCAACTGTTTTCAATCAAGTCAAACAAGACAACAACCTTCTTCTACAAACTTTGCCTCAATAAAACAAGATCCTTAGAGAGTTTTCATCAGATATGTGTCCAAAGGAAATGGCTGCTGTATAAAAATCATTCGTGCCAATGAAAGGAAGATGGCAAACAGTTTTACCACACGCTCTGAACAGGCATGCGCCAGTCACCAAGGAGGAGGAAACCAAAAGAAATTATTCTGAAAACAGTAACCACAGACCTTCTGTCGCATAAACCACATGTCGCCTTATTCGCTGTTGATGTGCCATGTTAACTAGCACACGCCTTTTCTGATGTGCCTTCAATGCAAAACACATTTGACCACATGCATGAACACACTTCAACTGCAATCACTGTGTCGCCATCAAAAGCCAAATCTACTGCTCTACAAATGAATATGTACAAATAAAACCAAACTGCACGTCAGAAACTCAACATGCACTATAAATCATTTTTACATTAAATGTGAGTGATGCTTGCCGGTGTAAAATTCACCGCTAATTTACTAGGATGGTTTCTAGGGTGTTGGGTTAGTTGGGTACTGTGTCATCTAATTAAACAGACGACCTACACTAAAGCTGAAAATGCAGTAATGGCTGCATTGCATTGACAAATGAGTGACTCTTGAAATTTTTGGCGGTAAAAACAGAAGTGCGAGTTATCACGCATATGTAACTTCCTTCCTGATGTGTTTGAATGCTAAGTTCCTCTATGTAGCTCAATGCTTCTTGTTTCATCTTGAAGACTATATGAGCATGTGGGTTGCCATGCCATCAGAAATAAACATGAATTCTCCATAAGGAAGTAGCACAATATCCTCTACAGGTTACATAGGAGATGCATTAGAGGCTTTGAATAGGTGCATATGCCACTCACTTTTATTCTTGAGCTCCTTTAACTATTTATGAAGAGTGTTTTTCAGGACAAGACTGTGAGTTGTTGTAGGCTACTGTGAAAACGAATCCTCCATTAGTCATAAACAGATAAAATCTTAATGTTAGCGTGCCATTAAACTTGGCAGTTTAGTTTCTTAAAACACCTTCCTGGTCTTATTACACATTATTTATCAGTGTGTGTTATTTTAAAGAAAAAGTCTTGTTTTCCAACCCCTTCCCCAAAACCACCTGCCGTATACAGACACTTTTTACCATGCAATCCAATCACATCCTACATTTTCACTCCAAATATCATATCAAAGAAAAAATGGGTTTCAAATAGTTTCATGTTTATTTTAAATGAATTTGCCTAAATTACATAAAAGAATACACTTTTTATTGAATTGTAATCACGTGTCAGAGGTAGTCACCTGCTTGCTTATGTATATTAGGCCTATTGTGTTACCCAGCATGCCTGGACATGGTTATTAATTTTAAAAGGAAGCTTTTATTATTGCTCTTTCCATATACTCCTGTTCTATTTGTTGTCGTAAAAGCAGTTGAAATCATTCTTAAATCAATTAGTGAGCAGAACCTTTAACCAGCCTGATGCTGTTATTACTCTTCCATGAAAGCCCGCAGCGAAACATCTGCTTTCACTTCGTCACGGGATGAACACACTCAAAGGTCTCACTGTCCTCGGCCAACGGGTTGCCATCAAACCATTTTTTAAATCTATGTAGAGGGCCACAGGAATGAGATGACAGGACTAAATACAGCTCATTTGTGACCAGTTTTTATAGACTTGCCCCATCCACTGCCAACACGGAGTAACAGCCATAAGTCAATAAGAATGGACACACAATGCCAGGGAGTCCAAATATCGATCTGTTCCATCTTCCAAGGACAGGACATCTTCCAAAGAGGTGTCAGGTTCTACCTGTCCCCATACACACCACCTACTACAGAGTCCCTGTCCAACTCTTACACAAAAACACTAAACAATATGAAAGTGACCAAGTATGGTGACCCATACTCGGAATTAGTGCTCTGCATTTATCCCATCCAAAGCACACACACACAGAGCAGTGGGCAGCCATTTTTTTGCTGCGGTGCCCGGGGAGCAGTTGGGGGTTCGGTGCCTTGCTCAAGGGCACCTCAGTCGTGGTATTGAAGGTGGGAGAGAGCGCTGTACATTCACTCCCCCCAACTACAATCCCTGCTGGTACGAGACTCGAACCCACAACCTTGGGTTATGAGTCCGACTCTCTAACCATTAGGCCATGACTTCCCCCAATATGGGCATCAAGCATATCGGTCGGTCTGGGCGTTTTAGTACAATGCATTATAGTATTAAATAATATTTACAATTAGCTTTTATGTATAATATTTCCAGTTTTCAGTTTGTGCTTTTGTCATTTTTATTCGATTTAAACTATTTTTATTTCAGTTTTGGTCATTTTAGTCCCATAACTCAACTTTATTGCAGTTAGTTGCCAAAGCAACATTTCTCATTTATTTATGTATTTTTAAGATTACATTTTTCAGCTAATATTTATAGTATATGTTATTTCAGCTTTATTTCCATTATCGAAAACTATTTTTAGTTTAAAAGAAGTTAAGTTATACAGACATGAGGGTGAATAAATGATAAATAATTTTTTTGGGTGAACTGTCCCTTTAAGCATGTGATTTGGTGATGGATAATATTGAAGCTGGACAGCAAAACAGGTGGATTATGGAAACATTTTCCTATCAGCATGAGCCCTGCATCACAACGTCATCAATCACTCCCATAATAGCAATCATGTGTTTTTCTTGTGGGTGGTTTAATATTTTCCTTCCTCCAAAAATTGCAAAACATTTAAACCATTCCTTCCACCTTAAAAGCATTACCCATAATGCTGGTAGGCACCATATCGGCAGCATTATGTCTTAACACATCCACCGTTTGATCATAAAGAATGTAAATATCATCCAAGCAAGAAAGGTCAAGCAAAAGTATTCCCTGCATGGCAACACAAGTGTTAGAATGGGCTTTTGTCAAGGACAACTTCCTGTAAGAAAAAACAATGATGAGCTTCACAGGCTAAACTATTTTAAACACAAATCTTATCCCCAAAAACAACCATTACAAGAGCAATTTAACAATACAGCTCTTTGTACTTAGATTACATGGCTTCTGTGCTATTTTAACTAAATGACCAATTTATTTCAGCACCAAGCAGACAAAATTAGGCCTACAAATGTGCAGAAAGCAACAGGACACAAATAGATCCTCTATTTCTGGTTAAATGGGAGAAAAAGAACCTGTCCTCCTCAAGCACTGCAGTACAAAACCAGTCCATTCAAACCATCAGCTGTTAAACCAAGGTGTCCGCAAGCCATCATAATGAAAGTACATGATTCCCTCGGGACATTTCTATGTTTGCAACACTGGCATAAGAGTAACATGAGCTGCATATGATGTCAACATTAGTTTAGAGATAAATGGACGGACACGCATAGCCGTTATGTAAAGCATCAATATTGATTTCTCAAGTGGGTAAGTTCTTGTGCTGTCAAATATAGTGCATTTGTGCACCATAGAGGCAAACTCTTGGAGTCAGCAAAATTCCTCCTGACTCATAGAGCCAGAGGACGGTTGTGGGAGGTAAAGAACAGAAATACAGCATCACCTACCTTGCAGCCTCTGCATCACATTCATAATGTCCTTGCTGGACCGTCCGAAAGGGCTGAGGGAAGCCATGGTCCCTCTCTACAGTCCTGTGCTCCTCTGACACCGGATCACTTATGCAGTCGGCACAGTAGACAGAAGATACTGCACTACTTTCTTAAGGGGCATCCCCATCTGCACCTCCTACAACTCTCTCTTCCTCTTGCTGCCTCTCTCTCACTCACACTCTCTGATGCAGGAACTCCAGGAGCTTGATGTGGCCCAATAGAAAAGCAGGTTTCATTTAGGTGCTCGACCAATCAGACGTCCTCTTCTATCTACAGTCAGTGAACCGAGAAGGAAAAGTAACCGCATGGGTGTCAGACAGAACAAAATCACACTGTAAAAAATATTTAGATGAGGTAACATAAAATAACAGGTTTCACTTAAGACATGACTTTAAGTCATTAATTATGACTAAATCAATATGGTTGCACAAACAAAATCAACCGTAGCCATTTTAGTGCCTTAACTTAAACTTATTTCAGTTAGCTGCCAAACCAACATTTTTGATAGTTTTTCACCTAAACTGTTTAATGTTGCTTTATTTCTATTACCAACCCCTATTTTTAATAGTTTAGGAAGAAGTAATAAAGTCATAAAGACATGAGGATGAATAAATGGTAACAGAATTTGCATTTTTGGGTGAACTATCCCTTTAAACGTGTGAATATTTGGATGAATAATACTGAAGCACAAACAAAATCAGCTCAAATAGAAAACGGCACATTTTCACTTTTTACAGTTCAATAAACATCAGTGTTTCTATGTACTGTATGCACTGTTTGCACACAGACCAGGCCCCTTTTACATCTCTTAAGTTGTTATTATTTATTTATTATTCTTCTTTTCTTTCCAGGTATAATAATTATAATCTATGGACTTCCTGACTGATTACTATTATATGGAAAAGAACTTGAGTTATAAGAGCTCATCCATAATTAAAGAAGTCCTTGCCCACCAGGGATAACATTTCATCTTCATTGTGCATTGCTTCAAAATAGATTTGCATGTATATTAATCAGCCAACTTTATGCACGTAAAAGAAACTCAGCAGCAAGATACATATCTGCAGTCAAAAGCATGCAAACAGAAATTCCAAGAAAAGCAGCCCTGATTGATCAGACACTATATTTGTGTGTACAGTTGTTAGTCTGTAGTGCGTGTATTACCGTGAGCAGACGACGCTTCCTTTCCCGCAGCGCTCTTGCGTCTCATGTGACGCTGGTGAAACTCTGTTAGACGGGTTGCTATGGAGACCTTGAAACAATGTTGCAAGGCCGTGTTACTTCATGTGACTTTTACCGCCACCTATCGGTGATAAAGAGAACAATAAGGGGGCGTTTACTGTACACAGAGCAACTCAATGAAAGAGAACAGAGACTAGATAGATAGATAGATAGATAGACTTTTTTCAAGTAACTAGTAAAGTAATGCATTACTTTTTAATTTTACAAGAAAATATCTATTACTTTTTCAAATAAGTAACGCCAGTTACTTTTTGCACCTCCTACAACTCTCTCTTCCTCTTGCTGCCTCTCTCTCACTCACACTCTCTGATGCAGGAACTCCAGGAGCTTGATGTGGCCCAATAGAAAAGCAGGTTTCATTTAGGTGCTCGACCAATCAGACGTCCTCTTCTATCTACAGTCAGTGAACCGAGAAGGAAAAGTAACCGCATGGGTGTCAGACAGAACAAAATCACACTGTAAAAAATATTTAGATGAGGTAACATAAAATAACAGGTTTCACTTAAGACATGACTTTAAGTCATTAATTATGACTAAATCAATATGGTTGCACAAACAAAATCAACCGTAGCCATTTTAGTGCCTTAACTTAAACTTATTTCAGTTAGCTGCCAAACCAACATTTTTGATAGTTTTTCACCTAAACTGTTTAATGTTGCTTTATTTCTATTACCAACCCCTATTTTTAATAGTTTAGGAAGAAGTAATAAAGTCATAAAGACATGAGGATGAATAAATGGTAACAGAATTTGCATTTTTGGGTGAACTATCCCTTTAAACGTGTGAATATTTGGATGAATAATACTGAAGCACAAACAAAATCAGCTCAAATAGAAAACGGCACATTTTCACTTTTTACAGTTCAATAAACATCAGTGTTTCTATGTACTGTATGCACTGTTTGCACACAGACCAGGCCCCTTTTACATCTCTTAAGTTGTTATTATTTATTTATTATTCTTCTTTTCTTTCCAGGTATAATAATTATAATCTATGGACTTCCTGACTGATTACTATTATATGGAAAAGAACTTGAGTTATAAGAGCTCATCCATAATTAAAGAAGTCCTTGCCCACCAGGGATAACATTTCATCTTCATTGTGCATTGCTTCAAAATAGATTTGCATGTATATTAATCAGCCAACTTTATGCACGTAAAAGAAACTCAGCAGCAAGATACATATCTGCAGTCAAAAGCATGCAAACAGAAATTCCAAGAAAAGCAGCCCTGATTGATCAGACACTATATTTGTGTGTTTGTACAGTTGTTAGTCTGTAGTGCGTGTATTACCGTGAGCAGACGACGCTTCCTTTCCCGCAGCGCTCTTGCGTCTCATGTGACGCTGGTGAAACTCTGTTAGACGGGTTGCTATGGAGACCTTGAAACAATGTTGCAAGGCCGTGTTACTTCATGTGACTTTTACCGCCACCTATCGGTGATAAAGAGAACAATAAGGGGGCGTTTACTGTACACAGAGCAACTCAATGAAAGAGAACAGAGACTAGATAGATAGATAGACTTTGTTTCAAGTAACTAGTAAAGTAATGCATTACTTTTTAATTTTACAAGAAAATATCTATTACTTTTTCAAATAAGTAACGCCAGTTACTTTTTTCCCCATTTATTGATTGAAAGATCTCCTGTCTACGGTGGCCGAGAAGTGCAAAGCAAATCACAATTCTGAAAACAAAAATAACAAATTACAAACGCAAATGCAAGTCTAAAAAACAAAATAACAATTCAGAAAGCACAGCAACAATTCAGAAAACATTATAACAAGTCAGAAAACACAACGACAAATTCGAAAACAAAATAGCAAGTCAGAAAACAACAACGGCAAATCAGACAAACCGGAAGAGGTAGATATAATTTGAGACAGCGCTATTGGTTTGGGGTTACTCAACGCTGACTGGACACTTAGTGTAAATAGCATATTGCTAAAAAATACTTCTATTTTCACTTAGTGTAAATAGAATTTATTGCTAATACGAGATTTGAAAAGGGAGGGAAAAAAGCTTGGTAAAAGGTGGGATCGAACCTATGTCGATCACATCAAAAAGCCAATGTCAAGTGCTTATCCATCTGCACCACTTGTGTTTTCTGATTTGTTCATTTGTTTTCTGAATTGTTGTTGTGTTTTCTGAATTGTTATTTAGTTTTTTAGACTTGCATTTGCGTTTGTAATTTGTTATTTTGTTTTCAGAATTGTGATCTGCGTTGCACTTCTCGGCCACCGTACCTCTCCCCTTGTTGAGAGAAATCGGGAGTAAGATGTTACTTTAGTTCTAGAATAAATGTGAACATGCATTAATTCATCTCACTCACTCACAAAAAAAAATCAGAATTAGTTTTCCTCAAAATTAATAAAAACAGTTAAAAGCAACTCAGAATATGACTCAAAGCTGCAATAATTAAATCCCATTTTATTAACCGATTTGCTGCTGACCTTCGGTGATCCAATTCAACCATACTAATAAGCAAAAATGACACAAGATAAACTAACATTTCTTCTTTTTTTATTGCTGAAGAGTGTTGAACTTTCTTCTTCTGTGTATACTGTACAGACGTGAATTTACATTTCCTTCAGCCTGAGGCTTTTGGTGTGAATTAGCTTTTACATTTGCCAAAAATAACTTTTTATATTAAAAGCAAACAAGTAAGCCCAGCCCAGATTTAAAAAGTAACGCAAAAATAACGTAACGCATTACTTTCAATAAAAAGTAACTGAGTAACGTAATTAGTTACTTTTTTAGGAAGTAACGCAATATTGTAATGCATTACTTTTAAAAGTAACTTTCCCCAACACTGTAGATAGATAGATAGATAGATAGATAGATAGATAGATAGATAGATAGACAGATAGATAGATAGATAGATAGATAGATGGATAGATAGATAGATAGATAGATAGATAGATAGATAGATAGATAGATAGACAGATAGACAGACAGACAGACAGACAGACAGACAGACAGATAGACAGATAGACAGATAGATAGATAGATAGATAGATAGATAGATAGATAGATAGATAGATAGAATCGGAGTTCTTCATTGTGTCATTACCACCCAGTATCTACATCACAGGCTGCATGGTTCAATAATGACATCTGCTGGCCATTCCTGTTTTTCTAATTAACTCAGAGCATGGATGTCCTCCTATTGTTTTAGGATAAAATTGTACTTCCCTCAAATATTTGCAAGAACCAGTACACCAGCAGGTATCAGTGACTGAGAATTCTGTTGAATTCGGACAATGCATACCCTCTCCCTGTTTCTTCTGAGAAGACATGCATTTTTAGGCATTTAGTTATATTACTTTAAAGTGGGTATCTGTAAGAATATTATGATTTGGTTCATCAGCACATGGCAGTGATATGCCAGAAGGTACAGATACTAGGGCAGTAAGGAAATCTCCTCTGATAACTAAGAACTTATCGCCCAGGAGTTTTCTTTTGGGAACTGTGTCAAATCGAAACTTCAGAAATGTATTGTTCCATTTTTATCTACATAAGTATTTGTTTTTATCTTCACTCAATCTCAAAACAAATCTGCAGAAGAAAATTTAAAGTGCGGAAAGGTCTAAAAAAATGTTGTAAGTTGGTCTATTATAATATAATGGGGTGAAGAAGCCATTGTATTGTGTCCATTGAAGCGAAGGAAATGATGCAAGAGGAAACAGCCCTGTTCCTCTGGATTTCTGTCCTGAACAGATAAGCCTAGCACTTGCTAATTATACGAGTAAAGAGGCAGGAAGAATGACGACAAAGTTTCCCTTCATGCAAACCAAAAAAGTGCCATATTCTCTGAGAGTTTGGCTGCATGTTCACATGCTTCTGCGAACTATTATGGCTTCTAATGAAACAAATGCGATTTGGGAAATACTTAAACCTATTGATTTTGGTAAGAATTGCTGTGCATTTGTTTTACAGTCTTGCTTG